CCTCTTCGGAGCGCCTCAGCTGCGGCAGCTGCTCAGCCAATGGACAACAGCCAATGAACTCAGCACACAGGCGGGGCTGCGACGGACGGCCAACGGACAGCAGCTGGTGACATTCGACCAGCAGCAGATGGGTGGTGACCTGTTGGCGGCGCTGTGTGTGACGGAGGAGGGCGGCTGGAGTGAGATGAGCGAGGCGATCGAGCTGGCGGGGCAGTGCGGCAACTGCCAGCTGCCTGTGAGCATCACTGCCGCCGATCTGCACCAACACCCAAACAAGACGGTAGGCCAACCGACCGAGGGAGGGAGGGAGGGACCATGGCTCTCAATCGGTGTGTGGTGTGTTGATGTGTTGTGTGTGCAGGCGTATTTGGCCGATCCCCGTGTGTTGGCTCAGGTCAAGATGGTCGGCCGCCACATCGACTTCGGCGACGGCGTGACCTTCCAGCTCTTCCACCACGGCAACACAGTGCGGGCCATCAAGGATGAGGGCGACTTCGAGATCGACATCGACACTTCCCTCCCTCCCAACCACCCCTACCAGCAGCACCGACAGCCGCACGACCCGCCAGTCCGCAGCAGAATCACATATTCCCACCAGGGCTGGCAGCCGCCGCTGTTTCATGTCGACTCCGCATCTGTGTCGTCGTGTGTCAAGAAGATCGTCCTCAACCACTTCAGGGGGACTCACCAGATCAACAGCACTTGCCGTAATATCGACAGGTGAGGCGGGGCATCACTGTGTCAGGGCACTGCCACGACACACGAGATGTATGTGTGTCTTCATTGGTCAGGCATATCGACAACGGCCGGCTGGACACCCTCATGACACAGTCCCCCCACACACCAGTGGAGAGATGCACCACCACCACATCGGAGTGGTCAGCTATCGGCTTCACTTACCGTCGTCTCGTGTTGACCAACACTGGCCACCCGTTCGTCGCGTGGATCAACGTCAACGAGCACACCAACACCGGTCAGCCCAGCCCGGCACAGCAAGGGAGGAGGGAATGCGGTGCCACTCTCATCTCTGTGCTCTCCCGTCATCTGTTTGCAGTGGGTGTGGAGGTCTGCACCACCGAGTCGGCTGTGTGTGGTGTGGGTGTCCCCTTCAAGGATCGCTTCCCGCAGACCACTCGGCTGGCGAGTGCGGTGCTGGGGCCCGTCATCTCACAGAGGATCATCGACCAATAGACAGCTGAGGTATGTCTGCATCAAACACGACTGAGACGAGCAGCAGATGCGCTCACGACTTACGCAATGGTGTCTGTGTCTTTCCATGTGTGTGTCAGGGTGGGCGACGGTGTTGGCCTTGGAGCGATCCGCCCGACATACTCTCTCTGGACGGATGTGTGGGCGGTAGATAGATAGAGGGGGGCGGGTGGGGACTTCCTCTCGTGGCGTGTGCTGTCTGCTGTGGTACTAGCTGATGGATGGATGGATGGATGGTCTGCCTCTCCCTAATGTCCGCGTGTTTGTTCACACCAGTGTGTCTCTTCGGCTGGCTCGCTCGTCCCTTTCTGTCTGTCTGTCTGTCTGTCTACTCCGCCCCTCCCCTCCCATTGCCCCCACTCATGTGCATTGGCCGACCAGACCGGTGAGGTGTGGGTGGGTCGGAGAGAGTGGACAGACAGCAGCAGAGGGGAGATGGGCAAATACAGCAAGGCACACACACGGTGGCCTGATTGAAGTGCGAGGGCAGTAGGTGCCGATGCGGTCGGCGAGCGCAAACAGACAGACAACAGACAGACAGACAGACAGATGGAATGATGAACGTATCTAGCTGCATTGAGTGAGAGAAACTGTGTGCATATCGGCTGGGGGATGTGTGTGTTCGTATGGCTGAATGCCTGGCTGTTGCAACGAGTGAATAGCCTTAGCTAAGCTGACCGCATCCATCCGAAGCGCACCACACACACGGTGTCTGTACACATTATCTGTCTGTCTGTCTCTCGACGCCGCTCGGTGGCCGGCGGACAGGGAGCAGCACAACGTCAATCCATTGGCAGGCACGGTCTATGCACCCACACACACATCACATACAAAAGGGAACACCCGCCACACACACATCTGTCTGTCTGTCTGTCTGCCCCTCTCTCTGCCAGCTGCTAATTGACTGCACAAAACACAAACACCGAACAGCTGGCATGAAGACAGACGGGGAGGCAGGCAGGCAGGCAGGCCAGAGTGCACGCCAGCCACTAGCTAAGCTAACTAACGATCTACAAACAGGCAGCGAGAGCGTCAGAGCTTCTCAAAGATCGACCCAACACGCCCGCGAAGGGGTCCTCCCACGTGCGGCGGTTGTTTTTTCTCCTCTGCAACCCCACCCGTCTTGCCGCTCCCTGCCACTGCCTGGTGCTCTTTGTGCGCCTCCTCCGTGATGTACTCCTGCCCGTCGCTGGTCTTGCGCGTGGTCTCGGTCTTGGCCGTGCCATCCGGCTCGGTCCACTTCTCTGTCACGATGGTCTCCTGCTTGCCGTTGACATTGCGGTGCGCCACGCTCTTGCTGTCTCCGGAAGACGACCCTCCGGAAAACGAAGAGAAGGGCGAGAACGTCGAGAACGACGACGAGAACGGCGGAGAACGGGGAGAACGAGGGAGCGGGGTGGTAACACGGAGGGAACGGGGAGAACGGCGAGAACGAGGACCTCCTCGAGCTGGAGAGCGACCTGCCCCCTCCCCCGCCACCGAATGCCGCAAATGGGTCATCGGACCCTTTGAACATGTCCTCAAATCCCTTGAAGCAGTCTTTGAACATCTCGTCGAACATCTCGTCGGCCTGGGCGGAGCTGAAGTGGTGCGCAGCGCCGAAGTCAAAGCCGCCAGCACCGCCAGCGAGGGAGGCGTCGTACTGATTCCGCTTGGCGGGGTTGCTGAGGGTCTCGTATGCCTCGGCAATGCGGATGAGCCGCTCCGCGGCCTCCTTCTTGTCACCTGCAGCCACACAGGCAGCCACCGGTGACGCAATGGGCGGCAAGGTATCTCCTCGCTAGGTGCGTACTGACCTTGGTACTTGTCAGGGTGATACGCTTTCTTGATCTCCCTGACGCCCAGCACGTCATAGTAGATCTCCTTCTCCTCGCCCGCCAGCGCCTGCAGACACACACATCACACACAAAGAGATCGGGTCTCTCTCATTCATCGGCTGGCTAAAGGTGGGAGATGCGCTGACCAGGAAGGCACAGACGCCCAGCAAGATGGAGCAGACGGAGATGCGATGCTGGAAACGACATTGAGCCACGATGACGTTGCCGTGGATGGCAGCTCGGAGCTCCTTCTGTGCGACGCCGATCTCAAGGGTCAATCTGCACAAACCCACCTTGATCTCCTCGGGTTCTTTGGGCCGCTCTTTCTTGCGCTCGGCTTCCTCGACCTCCGCCAACACCTGCCTGGAGTGCACAAACATAAGACGCCGGTCGTCACGGTGCAACCAACCCACACACTCGCGCACCTTCTGCAGACGCTGCTCGTACAACTCCTTGGTGGTTGTCGCTGCAGGTATGCAAACCACAGTAATGCATCAGACACAAAGATCAGACATGACGTTTCTGGCGTTTTTCACCTCTGTTCTCAGCCATCGTCAGATCTCTGCCGTCGCACTGCTAACCGACAATCCCTCTCAACCCCAAGCACTGCTTTCTCATCTCCATGCGATCGCCTGTGGAAAGCGCGCAAGTGTGGTTCCTCGCTGAGTTTCTGCAGGAGTCACGAATCTCATTGCATTCCTTTGCTTGCAGCGTACAGCGATAGTTCCGACCAGATCTGATGGCGCTTCCCTCCCAGCAGCTGTCATGCTGATACGTGATTGGCTACGGCGGGCCGGCGCATCTCTCTCTCGGACTCATCAGCCTACGACCATTCATTGCAACGATCAACCACCACCATCAGCGCGAGATGCCGCGGCCATCCCCCCTGCCGCCACTGATGCACGTGACAATGATACGTCAGCGGCCAAGGGCGGCTTCCCCCAGGTGGTCGACACCCTCGGCGACGCCATCACGACAGTCGACAGCACCGTCACCACAGCAGCAGACACTGCACAGCGTCTCTTCGGTGCTCTGTCCTTCCCGGCATTCATGGCGGGCACTATCGTCTTCGGCGTGGCGTCGGGCGTCAAGGCCTACCGTCGGCAGCTGAGGCGACTCGCCAGCCAGGAGAATGGCCATGTGAGGGGACACATGGCGGCACGGTGGACGGGGAGGGGGGCGTCGGGTCAGCAGGGTGTGTCGGGTGAGGAGCTGCCGCGTGCCGGGGCACTGTTGACGCCCTGGGAGATGTTCAAGGTGTTTGCCTATCCTGCCTGCATCGTTGTGACGTGCACCACGCTCATGTGGTGGTCATTCCAGCGCGTCTGCGGAGTCAAAGACGTAAGCCTCGACGAATGAGAAGGCAGGCAGACAGGGAGGGTTTGCGGAGCGTTTGTGGTGGTGTGTGGTCTGCAGTTTGGTCACTTCATAGGTCTGGTCAAGTGGCTTAGAGGAATCGGCCCCAAGCCGCCCGACACAGACAGGGGCCAGAGAGAGGGAGAGGGAGGGGAGGAGAGTAGCTCTGCCAAGTGACAGGAGGGGGGGAGGGGTCGTTCGTGAGTGACATGACAGTTGGTTTGCATGGCTGGCTCACATTTAGTGTCCTGACAATCGACAGTGCATGTGTGTATTTCAATGAGGGATTCGTTCAACAAGTCCAGTGACATTATGCCCTAGGCAGCCCGGCAGCCCGGCAGGCAGACAGGCAAGAGAAAAAATACCCGAACACAACAAACCGCCCGAACAAGCGTACCCCAGCTGGTCGGGCACCCGTCACGTGCACCCACCACAGCACAGCGGCTCTCGAAAGCACTCACAGATGAGGGAAGAATGTCTCAATCCTCTTGAGGAAGGCCCTAAACCGCCGCACAAACTCCTCGTTGTACTGCTCCTCAACACTGAATCGCTTCTGCCCGCCGGGCTGTTCCTCAGCCCTGCTCTGAATCACTCCCACCTGCATACCATGCAGACAGGCGCATCGGATCGTGCGCATCAATCGGCGTATCCATCCATCCAACCATCCCTTACTTACCTCATGTATGTCGAGCAGGTGCTGCAGTTTCTTGTGCTGCCGGAGCGGCCCCAACACAGACGATGAGCTGCGCTGCGTCATTATGCCCGATCTCGTGCGGCCCCTGTCGATGTCCCGCAGCGTGGGCAGCCGCGCCATGCCCCTCCCCTGCTGCTGTCGGTCGCCATCTGCCGCAAGAGACACGGCTTTTTTTTCGCCGCCCACCTGGAATGAGGACTGCTGTCTTGACGGCTGCCGGAGGATGGACTTAGGCCGGGGCTCCTCCTCACGGGCCATGTCGTCTATGGCATCTCCAGTGATGACGCAACCTCGCCTGCCGCGGGCTGCCTGTAGAGGGGGAGACAGATGGATGGGGGAATGTGTGAATGGGATCTTACGTGCTTTAGTGCCACGTCGGGAGTCTCGGTGAGGAAGGCACTGAGGGCACACAACAGAAAGGGCATCCATAATCGGGGAAACGACACACTCACGGTTTTCGAAACTTTGGGCTCCAGTCCTTGGGCGACTCGTCGACCTCGAGGGACTCATATGTGTATCCCCCACCCAGCACGGCGGACGACGCACTCGAGCTCATCGGAACAAGATCCTTCGCCTCCTCTGTCTCTACACTCACCTCTGTCTCACCAGCAATGCTCTCGTCTTCCTCCCGGCTTGCCGTCTTCTCCGGCCTCATGGTTCGATCCTGCATCGCCCTCTCCCGGCGTTTCTGTCTCTTAGCTGCCTCAGCCACGGCCAGCTGGTGGCGGAATCTTCGTTTGGTGACTTTGGTGTGGTGGTTGGAGGAAATGGTGTAGGCCTGCGAGAGGTCGACGCGCATCCGCTCCAGGAGCGCCATGCGTCCGAGGGCCTCACAGAACTCGTCGAATGTGAGGTCAGTCATGCCGTCGAGGTGCTGGCTGTCCTCTGGCTGCCGCTTGCACAGACCGAAGACTGACATGGCGTCCTTGGCGGTGAATCCCTGAACAGGCGGACAGGCGGACAGGCGGACAGATGGATGGGTGCGATGGTAGGGGAATGGAAGGGCGTCAAGTCAATAGGGTGTGGCTGTTGGTGTTACAATGTTACTTACTGTGTCGAATATCTTGAGCATCTGGGTCAGGTCCACAAGATGAGACATGCTGTCGCCATAGCTGCATTCATCACCGTCATATGCACACAGCGACAACTGAAGGCAAATGGGCCCATTGCTCACTTGGTGTATAGCTTCTTGAGCCTCTTTCGATGATCCAGGATGGCAATCTTGACCTGAGCAACAACAAAAATGTTCGCAGCTTCTCAGCCCTGCCTGCCGGAATTCCCTCGCTGCGCTGACCGACCTGCGGGAGTCTCATAGGGTGTCTTGGAAAAGGCGAGAATGGAAACACCAGCAGTCTTGGGAACACACACCCATTCATCAGCTGGTGGAAGGCCGCCGACACAGGTACATCCTCATACACCTTGACACTCAGTCGAATCAGCAGCTCCATCAGGTGATGCCGACACAGAGGCGCCAATGTCTCGGAAGTGGACGTCAGCGGCAGCAACGTCCCGCCGCGCATTGTGTCATTAGGCGGCACCTTCAGCGTCTGAAAGATCAGCTGCTGCAGGTCGGCCAAGGACAGCTCGGGGAGCATCTCAACCTCCGCCGGGGGATCTCGGTCAGCCGATCCAAGGACCCCGCCCTGCCGCCTGTGCAGCCGGAGGACGTTCAGCAGCGATGGGTCTCGGGGGAAGCACCCCAGCAGGTGGAAGAGGTCGTATAGGTCGAGTTGTGCCAGTAGCGGCCACGCTGTGCTGCGGCCGGCGATGATGGCCCACACTTCCAGCAAAGCAGCGTAACAAGACTTGAGCTCCTGCCAAAGGTGATCATTGAGGGCAGAGACACGAGGACGAGAAGTGAGTAAGTGGAGTGCACCATACTGGAGATCTCACCTCCATGAGGTCCGCTTCGTCGTCGGCCCCACAAAGCAAGAGGAAGTCGATCTTTGATGTATCAGACTCAAACCGACGATGCAGCTGCAATGAATGAACAGGGAGGGACATATCAACAACATACATCCAAGACGGCCCCTCCCTCCCCCCACCTGGTCTCTCTTGTCTCACTCACCTCTTGTTCTTCCTTCTGCTCGGCCTGCCTGGCCAGGTCTTTCTCCACGGCCTTGTCGGTCGTCTCCCTCTCCTCCCTACCCATCAGCTGCGCACGCTCCTTGGCCTTGGACAGCAGCACACGGCACTCACGCGACAGCTTCTGGAAGTCCGACACGATGTGACTGGGGATGCTCACGAGCGGCTCCACCGTCACGTCATTCATACCGGGGAGAAACTCCCGCCTGATCGACCCGCCGTGAGCTTCTGTGTCGAATACTCTGACGAGAGAGGGGAATGCCATCTCGGGCGGCGACTCGTATGCCTGGCCCTTTCTTTCCCACACAAGAAGGGCTCTCCTGCCCATACTCATTTTCTGCCTCCGCCTGTTCGGGTCTGGCGTGCCGTGTCTCTCCAGCAAGAAGTCGGCTTCGCCGTATGCACACTCAGGGAAGGGCAACTCCGGCAGGTCCTTGGCGAGATGGAAACGACCGTCAAGCTCGAAGAAGTAATAGTGGGTGCCGGGAGGGAGGAGCAGCTCACGATAATAGTGGACCTGATGACACAGACCGATGTCGGTCTGGCGTCTCTCTCACCTTGCTAGTGTGTGTACTGTGTGTGCACGTGTATGCCAACCTCAAGGACAGAGATGGCTTGTCTTCTCAGCTCGATAGGGGCATAGTTGAGGTCGCTGAGTCTGAGCATGACCTTGTCCCCCTGCGGCAGGGGCCCTGACTGGGGATGCTTCCACACAAACCGATGGAGACTGCATCGCTCGCACACCCAACAGCGGCCCTGGGATGACAGACAGACATGCACCACACACCGGTCTGCTGGGGCCGCCCAGTAACATGCATGTCCGTAAGGAATATTGTCACCGACCTTCAGAATGGCGTCTTGTGGCGTCCAGGAGGCATCAGCCTCCTTCTCTTCCACCCCTGCTGCAGAGGATGAGCCTGAGCTGGATGTCGACACGGCCGCTTCAGTCCTCGCAAGCCGCCACTTGGCGTATCCTGCCCTACAGATAACACAAAACACACAACACTTCCTTGAGGCAACCTCCTTCGTGTCGTCGTCACATACCAGGGAGATGGTATGCCTTCCACAGGATCATTTCCTCATGGTCTCCCTCCTGCGCGGCCTCTTCAGCCATCCCGGTGCGAGAGCTGTGGACGGAACCCTCCACCCATGGCGGGGCGCTGCTTGTGATCAGGCCTAGCCGGGTGAGCAAGGCGTGTCTGAACCCCTGATGCTGCTTGGTTTTGAGAAGGTGGATGGCCGACAGCGCGCTGTTGCCTCGCATGGCCTCCAGAAGAAAGTCAAGCGTCTGCACCTCCTCAGGTGACTTCGATTGCCCTGCCTTTGTCGAGTCGGCGGCCTCGGGCGGACATATAAAAGCGCCAGCGTTCTCGGCAGCGTCCAGATGCGTCAGCTTCTGGTGTCTCGCCACGGCCTGCCATAGCATGTTCCACATCCTCACGTCGGAACAGTTCTGCCCCCTAACCCTGAGATCACGCAACCCGCGGTTGCAGAGCAGGCCCTCAGATACACCCTTAATCGCCCGAGCGTCTCCCCAGCAGTGGCTGATATTCAGCAGCTCCAGAGTGTTGTTGTGGCACAGCAGGTAGCGCACCCACGGCCACGATGTATCAGCTAAGGCGTTGCCAGATATGTCCAGCCTCTGGAGCCCCGCCGCTGTGGCGATCTGGTGTAAGAGCGGGGCCACCAAAGCCACTATGCCGGTAAAGACGGATGGGGCAGTAGAGGACCGCTGGCTGACCGCCTCGCTTTCAGTGATAGTGTCGAGGGTGCCAGCGTGTCTTTGCATCGAGGCACTGCTGTCAGGTGAAGGATCCTTGAACCCTACCTTGCCCTTGGTCAATCGTGGCGCCGCGTCCAGGCCATCGGGCGGCTCCAGGTCAGCGAGATTAATGGTCGTTGAGGACAGAGGCGATGGATGTGTCAGTGTCTGTGCACCTCCATGGTCTTGTGGGGTCTCCCTTTTGTCTTTGGGGTGTTGTGGGGTTTCGAGCAGAGAGAGGAGGGAGGGGATGGAAGGAAGGGCGGGTTCTTGGGGAGGCCGCTGGTACTTGGGGGAACTGAACAAAACCGATGACGATATCTGGGCTGCAACAGACAGATCCACTCAACCCAACGATCAGCAAACATGTGTCCGCGACCACCCACCTTTCCTGAGTTCCCCGCCCAGCCCGCAGTTGCGGAGAGCGATGTGTCTCAATGTCTTCAGCCGTCTCAGTGCGTCCGTCACAGCCTCCACCGTCCTCATCCCCACGTAGCTTCCCTCAATCTCCAGCGTCTCCAGCCGCTGACCCTCCACTGCTGACGCCACAATCTTGGCCAAGCCGTCATCCGGCAGCCAGTTGCCCACTAGCTCAACCACTCGAGGACGGAGGCCACTTGAGGGATGGACGGTCTTTGCCAATGCAGCGCACTGCGTCGTATCCCCGGGAAGTGGGCCGCCCTCCAGACGAAAGTGCTCAGCGAAATGTGGCGGCGGATAGAGAGGCACAACTCGCAGAGTCTGACACATCGGCAGATACACTTCGTCGTACAGAGCCATTGGGTCCCTTGCTGCCGTCTCTTCCTCTGCCGTCTTGGTTTCAGGAGGCTCCTCTCTCCGCTCGAACGTGCCGACGAGCTCTTCAGAAACAATGCGGAAAGCAGAGTCTTCCGCCATCAGCCTGTCAAGCTCTTCTTCAAGAGACACGGCCTTGCCAAGGGCAGGGACCGAAATGCCCTCCAATGAGAAGATCTCGGTGACACTCCGACGATGCATGAGGGTCTCGAGGAATGCGGCCGTGGGGGAGTCACCAGATGGCGTAAAGTGCACGGCGGCCGCCTCTTCTCTGTCGCCAATGACGACATTTGCATCGTCATGCGCCATGAGTTGCAGGACGGTCATGAGCTGGCCTATAAGGCCCTGGTGTTCCGCCTCTGCCTCGCCGACCGTCGCACTGCTGCTGCTGCTCGACATGACACTGCGGCTGCGCACGCTGACACTCCCCCTGGACACGGGGGAGCCCTCCGACTCGTTGCCTGTCCATCTTCTATGCGCAGATGGGAACCTGGAGGACCGCCTCTTTTTGTCCTTGCCCTTCTTGTCCGCATACACGAGGTCCAGCAAGGCCTCCATCGATGGCAGGGTCACCCCCGTCGCGCTCTGCTTCACATAAGATGGGTTTAGTCGCGCCAGCTCGGCGGCCGACGTCTTGGTGCGGTAGTTCTTGAGCACATCAGCCATCTTCTTGAGCACCTCAGCCTTCAAGGCCGACGTCTGGATGACGTCATGATTCTGGCGTTTGGCTTTGGCTGCTGCCGGTGACACTTGCGTGGATGTGCTGTCGAGGCGCCTCGCTGGGACGGCGGAGGAGGCCTTGAGGGGAATGAACAGCGCCATCATCCCAGGGAACTTCAACTTTGACGCTGCCGCTGTCAAGACTGGGGGCGGCCTGGGGGTGCATGCGATGGGACACACGGCTCCACAAACCAGGATCGGGACTGGGGAGGGAGACACAACGGCTTCTCGCTCAGATTTCTGTATTGCGTGATATTGCCCGATGGTTTTTGGTGTGTGATATTTTTCACGCCGTGATAAATTCACGTGTGAAACCAAATAAAGCGGGATGGGCGCGAAGTGCCAAGCGGTCCTTCTATGCCCTTGAACTTCAATCTTTTGCCTTCACCCACCCACCCACAGCTACGGCGGCTGCCTCGTCCATCTGGCGCACCTGCCGACAGCTTTTCCTCTGGGTCTGCCATGGTGGGTCTGTTTCGGAGTGACAATTAGTGAATGCCAACGACCTGCCCACGTTGTTGATGCCATTGTCCTTACCAAGGCATGTGTCGCACGTACAGCTACCACAGCTTCCTGCATCGCGCAGGAGGCTGGGAGCTGCTCTGGCAACCGCCCCATGGCCCTTTCTGCTTCCTTGCAAGCCTGACTCTCACTCCCTCACATTACGGCTGCGCAAGGGATGGAGATGATGGATCAATCAGTGCGTGTAAACATACAATGGGTTTGCGTGTCTCTATCTACCTTGCGTATGCATCTGAATAAAAGGCAGTCACTGTCACTACTACTCTCCCTCCCTCTCACCCCCCACTGGCGCCCAGCACGTGCGCTTTGAGGCTTCGCGATCCCTCAAAGAAGAAACACCGATAACTGACTGACTCACTGGCCGATCACCGAATTCATTAATTAACCAGAAGGACACGTGCAATGCACACACTCACGTCCGACAAAATGACGAAAAAACGACGGCTCACTGTTCCGGCCGTCATCACCGCTGTCATGCCAATTTCAAGCCATACACCCACATCTCATAAAAACAACACCAGCACACGGCCATGCCTCCCTGGATCTAGTCAGTGTCCATCATGCCGTCATCACGCCGCTGTTCGTGATGACGACGGGCACCCTGGGCGCCCGCATCGGCCGGTCCCTGGCCGCTGCCGCCACCTCGTCGTAAGGGCTGCCGTCGCTTCGAGTCACCTGCTGCCCGCCTGTCGTGCTGATGCGGTCAACCAAGGACAAGCCCGAACCGTTGTCGAGCTCCCCGATGACGCAGTAGCTCAACGGAGCCGTGGAGAGCCGCCTGCTGGCCGTGATGAAGAACCGGCTCCCTGCAGGTATCATCGACGACGGAGAAGGAAAGGAACAAATTGCATGTGCAGGCACATGCGTGTGCCTGCTGCTTGCGTGGCGTGTCTGTGAGGCGTGCGCTGCGCGTACCGTAGACGTACTTCTTCTTGTTGTCGTAGACGCCGACCAGCGCGAGCTGCCCGGGGTTGTTGGGCGGCACCAGAGCGTTCTCTTGGTCCGTCCCCAGGGCGGCGAGGCCCTCGCTCACTCTTGGCTTCCGTCTGGCCGTGTGTGCGGCGGCGGAGTCCAGGTAGCCGCCATAGATGGCCTCGGATTCGATGACCGAGTCGATGTGGGTGTTTACATAGCACAGGGGGTACCCCTTGCTGCCGGCGTGCGAGTAGCCCGAGTACTGCACACAGACACACAGACAGACACACAGAAAAGGGGCGCATGAATGAATCGTCGTCTGTGCCGATGTGTGTGTATCTGTTGGCTGGTGGTGGGTGGGCTGACCTTGGTGCTGCCGCTGCATAGTGCCGCGAAGATGGCTGCACTGAGTGGCGTGATGTCCCAGTAGAGCTTGAACACCAGCCGCCCTTCATTCTTGCCGTCGACGCTGATGTCCAAGTACACACGATCTGCCTTGACCTGCAAACAACAAAACACACACACACACACACGAGAGAGAGAGAAGACATGCAGAGATCGATGCAAGCACTTTCTGTTGCCGCTTGTGGGTCACCTGCGAAGGGTTGATCGGCCTACTGATGACCTTTTCTGCCTCCCGGAGCCGTTTGAGGATTTCGTTGCAGGTGTTGGCAAGGTTCTTGTTGCCTGGCTTGACACGGAGGGAAATCAGTCCATACAGATCGGTCTCCTTCCGCACACACACACACACACACACACACACAGGGGATGTCGATTGGGTGTGAGTGTGTGATGGTGTGCGTGCGAGAGCGTGGGAGTGGGTGTTGCACCACCTTGAGTAGGGCGGGCCACATGCGCCAGTCGACTTGGTACTGCATGTAGGTGATGCTGCTGCTCAGGGAAGCCTGACCATTCGCGGTGCTCTGCACAACCAGACCACGCGCACAAGGATGCATCCCATCCCCCCCCCCCCCCCCCCCCCCCCCCC